TAGTGACGTGTGAATGTTTAGATTGTCTAATCTTAAGGCCAGAAGGGCTTGGATGCACATGTGAGAGTCAGGAGGTACATGTACCTTGCATCGGCTCGGGCTCAATGATTGCACTTAAGTGGGTTTGTTATACAGCATTGGTAGTAATGTCTTATTCCTTTATTCTTGATCTATTAGTTCGAGTGAAGAACATCACGACCCCTTCGTACATAAATTCTCAGATATTTGTACACTCGCTCAGTTACCCTAGTCTCTTACACAAGCACGGATACCAAGAAGGTTTACTTTGTTAACTATATTACTTGTTAGCTTCTGTCTCATACTCCTAAACTACTACATGCTTCCCTAAGTTCATCCCCTGTTTCGAGTGTGAGTGCGAACATCTGTCTTGTCCTCCCGCTGTGATTCGATTTTAACATTAGTTAAGCTAAAGGTCCCATCATGGACACCATCAAACGGGTCCGCCCGACAAGCGACGACGAAGAACCATGGAAAGGCCTAGAGTTCAATCAACGATTTGGCTCCGACAGATTATATGACGAGCTCAAAAAAAAATACCCCCAATATACATGTCTACGGCAGAGACAGCATGCAGCTGTAATTGCGTTTCTGCAACAAGAACTCCAAGTCATGGCGAAAAAGGAAGCAGCTTTAGAAGCATCTGCTCCCAAACAAGGTGAAGAGAATTCTATATCCCTTCTTCAGGGTGTAGAAAAGTCACCGCAACCAGCTATGGGTGTCCACTACTCTGGGAGAAAATCTGCGAACGCGATGTTGCCCAAAGAGCCTGCTGCTGTGTCAAGCACGGAGCACGGGCTATACGTTACTTTCAATCTATCAAACCAGCCTATGGAGTTTCCCCATAAAAGAAGGAAGATGAATCCCACAGAGAAAGCTTCATACAAAAGAACTAGGGCGAAGGGGGCCTGTGATAGTTGCAAGCGTCAAAAAGTTAAGGTGGATATTCTCTATTTACCAGACACTGATACAAGTATATATAAGACTCACAAGGTACAGTGTACACACAACAGTGGTGCGGCAACTGAATCGCTGGATTCGGAAGCTCCCAACAGCACAAAGCAAAGGTTAGTTACCTTGACTGTTAAGAGAAAATTCTCATGTCAGATAGTTCACCGATTCCCGATGCGAAAGCATCCAAATCCGATGCAATAGTCTAGCATGAGCCCTAGATTTGACAGGCGCGATCCTCAAGGAACTATAAAAGAAGCATCGTACTTAGCGGCGAGACTTCGCTTAAGTAGTACTATCCCCAGGCTAGTTTGGATTTGTATATTGTCAAGTGCTAGCCGATGACTGCAGACACGCGAAGGACTTTCCCGATTTTTTGATCCTCTTGAAGGATCAAATTCGACCTAGCAATTAGTTCAGTCACGAAAAGTGGCCCATATTGTACGTTGTACATCGCACTAAGAAATGCGCAAAAAGTCCTAATGTGAAATACAAGAATTCGCAGATATGATGAATCGAGGAAAGTAAGAAACACGAGAGGAGATGCAGAACATTGGAAAGGTGGTGAGGAGCTTGAGGCGCAGAAATAACGGAGAAAGCAGTTCCCAACGAAGGGTCAATTCGATAGTACAGATGATGTAGCAATGAATGTTGCTTAAAGCAACAACTTGATAAGTTTTCGAATTGTTCCTCAGCTGTATTCTTATTCCTTGTTTCATCGAGGTAGACGTGAGCAGATCCACTAGCCAAGTCTTTCAGGTTAAGTTCGAGATCAGGCGGGCGTGATATAAAAATCTGCATATTATAGATATTTGGATCCAGATAAGAATTGCATTCATATACTTAGTTGGCTGCTCTCTTGAGGTTAGCCAGATAATACTTGTCATCTAGCGTTATCACGGCACGCTTGTTTAAATGCAAGGTGAACATGTAATCCCAGAACTCGATCTTGGAAAATACATCCTTTTTTTGGAATAATTGTACCAGAAGACTAGGGGAACGCTCTTTCGCAATGATGACAGCCGAGCTAAGTTTGTAGTTCGTTTTTAAACAAGCAGCACTAGTGACTTCTAGTAGAGGCGTGATCGAAATTCTATCAGAGAATCATTGAGAAGGAAGCTTATCAAATAATGCATTATACTGTATCTTGTGCAGTAACCCTGAAAGCAGTACAGTTCCAATGATTTACGCCGCTTTTATTTAATGCCTGCTGTGTTGTTTGCTGGTAGCCAGCCCGACCCACCTTCGGTCAAGATACAAGACTGAATCTGGCCACCAACGGCATAAGCAATGAACTTTCCATTTGCCACACTCATTTTTGAAATAAAAGTAAAAAGTTTCTCATGATCAACGATAGTAATGCCAAAAACGAAGAGGAATGAATGAATACCGTACTATCGAATTGTGCGTACGCGTTGTTCCTTCAATCGTTCTCTATAAAAGCACAAAAACACGGAGGTATGGCTATTTAACACCCTATCTCATGGATTGCGTTGTCGACTTGATATGAAATGCTGTTCAGATTCCCGACTAAAAGTTGATGGAGGGTATGTCCGGTACTCATCCAAATTTGCAAGGCTGTGATTTGTCTTGGAATTTGTTCCTGCGGCTTCTCGTTCGCTATCAAAATTACCCACAGCTACGCCTTGGGTCCCGAAAATTTTGGTCAATTTCATCAGTGATGGAAGTGTCGCAGATATGAGGTTGTAAGTCAGTAAGTTAATTGCCCAAATGAAGGTTGGAACAATATCAATGGCGGATTGACGCTCATTCATGTACTTGGAGTAGAATAGAATGTGCATGACTGAAAGAACAATGTTCCTATTGATACATCAGTCAGTGCATGCGAAACCTTCCTATATTTGTTGTAACATACGGAACTCTCACAAGAACCATCCAGATAAGAGTTTTAATATATTTCCAAGGATTCGAGGTTGAATAGAAGCCATATATCGGTAATGCCATTGCGATCAGTTCAAGAAACCAGTCCAATGCGGCAATAACTCTGAAGCCAGTTGTCTATCATGATAATTAGCGTTTGCCAGATACCGGCACTTCATGGAAACACTGACCGAGTCGACACAATATTCAGCACCAGCGTTTGGCAAAAGAGTAGCTCGTGAACAGCTAAGCAGTACGACAAAACTGCTAGCAATACACCATGCAGTAATAAGACCTATAGTGCTTCCTAAAACTCTGCCTGAAATGGACTCTGTTTGTGCAAAGATCCTCTTGACAAGCAAAAAGAAAGAAATTTTGGATAAGGCGATCGGGATGTTGAGGAAGACATAGCTCAAAAAGAAATACTGTGAGGAATATTAGATCAGATCAGAATTCCGGCAATATGATTAAAGGAACGGTTATACTTACCAATTGGGTGTTGGATATCTCGTTGTCATCAAGAACGCGGAAGGACCGTCCAAGACCATACACCAAAGATATGGCCCAGAAGATCCATACAACAAGAGCTACAACCTATATCCCTGTCAACCTTGCGCAATGTTAGAGATAGAAGTCTTCTGTACATACATGTGCGAGGAAATTGAAAGCATCATCAGCTTTGTATGGTTTTTCCCTTACGGAAATACGCACTATCACTGATAAAGCTACTATTGACAATGACACGAAGATGAACACCCAGGCCCACCCGCTTTTGTTGTCTACAGTTGAAGGCACAAGACTCTCTACCGATGACGTTCTTGAGTGAAAAATCATAGTCGTCGTGAGTGTATTTCTGAGATAAAGGAAGCCCAGAACGAATGATACATAAGACTTGACCAAATTCAACGAGGAAGATACACATTTATAATGCGCGGCCCATGCTGCCCCCCTGCCATGCCCCTGTAAGAAGCGAGAGAGAGGTTGATGTTTCGTAATGACACATATTCTTCAACAAGCACAATATAACAGTATTATGCATGGATTTTATCACTCTGCTATAACGTTATACGGCTAGCTGTGTCAACACGCAGATTAATTAATCAGTGAGCAGGGGACCACAGTATTCAGGTGCTGGCAATTTACTATTTAACGAGAACCATTTCTCGTTCACAGTATGGAACCAAATCCTTCCCAGCACGCGCGACAACCGGGATTTGATTGGCTTCTTTTCGTTCCAAGTATCCTCTAGGATACATGCCACATTGGCACACACACACACACACACACACACACACACACACACACACACTACAGTGCAATCCAGTATAATCATAAAAGACCCGCAATCTTGAGCATAAGTATTGAGGGATTGTGTCAGCTCCACTGAAAAAAGTGACTCCTCTCGCAGAGCCTTTTTTGCAGGGCTGGAATCATCGAGTCGCCTCACATGCCTTGGTCGCAAAATTGGCAGCTAGCTGTTTTTAGACATTTGAGTGTGCCGAAAAGGTGGGTTGTGCAAGCGCCTTGCCATTGGTTCCGTTGCATTCTTCTGCAGATCGGGAACCAATGCGGGATACGTCCGAAAGCCAATGTCAGCCACCAACAAATGAGCATGAATAAAGGCCTAGACCATGATCCCAGGCCATACACTAGCGTACAAAGGACCAGTAAAAATTACATCCGCAGTATCGTGCATGATGCAGCCTCCCGGGCCGGCTTTCCCTCTCCAAACGGGTCCGAGGAGCCCCGTCCCGTCACGGCGGTGGCGGAATGTGGCCGTCACTTTCGTCCGTATCTACCAGGATCCAAGCATCGGTTCGCAAGAATGTACCTGTGGGTGTCCTTGTTATTACACATCGCATGGGTTGGCACACTAATGCCCTGTTTGGGTGATAGTAGTGTTTTGTGGATTCCTTATAAACTATTCACTATCTCGCTCCAGATTCCCAAGCCCTAGAGTACCGTCGATCTAGCACTTTTCTCTACTACTTGTCTCTCCATCGCAACCATGGCTACGGAATCCGGCATGACACAGGACCAGCGCGACATGAGACTAATGGGCATCAAACAGACACTTAAGGTGAGTCATAGTGTCACCATCTTCGCTTGTCCACAAAATAACTATGGGAATAGCGAAACTTTACATTCGAGGCCCTAGTTGGTTTTGGGGTGCTCCTTGGCAATACTTGGATATACTCGCTTATGTATGTATTGCTCAAGACTATAACTTCACTATTGTCGTAATTAAGAAGTACTGTGGCGCTGATTTGCTTCTTTCCAGTGGAATGGCATTGTCTCTCCTGAATGGGGGCCCAGCTGGCGGTATTTGGATGCTCTGTGTTGTTCTTTGCGGAATGCTAGCCGTCACATTATGCATAGCAGAACAGGCGTCCGTGTATCCATCATCGGGCGGCCCCTACGTCTGGACTAGAATTTATTTATCCCAACCTTGGGATAAGCGTATAAGTTACATTGTTGGTATGTTGCTCCCAATACAAACTCTCGATGGACATTACTAACGAAGGCAATCAGGATGGCTGACTTCCCTCGGATGGCAAGCGGGAATGGCCGGTACTTCCTTCTTAACTGGTGAACAGATCCGAGGCCTGATAGCATTGACATCGCCGTCCTATAAACCAGTCCCAATGCATAGCACGCTTTTATCCATAGCGATTGTCACTTTTTCAGCCACATGGAACACATTGTTTGCGAAAAAGCTTCCACATATCGAGGGTTTTCTACTCTTCCTCTACATAATAGGATTTATTGCCTTTATGTCAGTACTTATTGTAATGGGCCCAGAATCCGACCCCGAAGAAGTCTTCTTTGAATTCAAGAATCCGAGTGGATGGGAAAATAAGATTCTCTCAGTCATAGCCGGCATAATTGGGCCTATATCAACAATGGGCAGTGGAGACGCAGCTACTCATCTAGCGGAGGAAGTAATCAATGCATCCAAGGCTCAACCAAATGCTATGATTATCTCCTACCTCATAAGTGGCTTGACAGCGCTGTCCATGACCATTGTTATGTATTTAAGGCAAGGCAACGATTATACAGCCCTTATTGACACTCCATATGGTCAACCGTGGATTCAGATGGTGGTAGACGCAACAGGCTCAAAAAAAATCGCAGCAGCCATGGTAGGACTTGTCTGTGTGCTGCTTCAGGCTGGTTGTATCAATCAAACTACGACTACTTCACGCCAGACATTCGCTTTCGCGCGTGATGGAGGGCTTCCATTTTCAGATCTGCTGTCTTCTGTAAGGCCTGCGCAATACTCTGAATATCTTTTGCTAATTGTTTTGTCAGGTCCGGAACGAAATCCCATTGTGTTCGGTCATCCTCACCTGGTTCTTCACAATACTCATGGGTTGCATTCCTCTCTTTTCGCCAATTGCTTTCAACGTAATCGTCTCTCTTTCTATGATAAGTCTCTATTCCGCTTACCTTACCATTCTCATTTGTTCTGGCTGGTTCATTTTGTCTGGAGGGCACCCGCCCTCTGGCAAATTCTCTCTTGGGCGTGCAAGAGGGCCTGTGTATGTGATCGCTATTGGTTACCTGCTGTTCGCGATTGTATGCTTGTGCTTTCCTAGCGGACCGAAACCATCGTTGCGTGAGATGAACTGGTCCTCCGCTATGTTTCTATCTACTATTTTGTTTTCTTTACTTTACTACTTTTTCAATGGGAGGCATCATTTCAATCCAGGTGGAAAACATAGGAGAGAAAGCATTGCGCTCATAATGAACCCGGGTCAAAAGAAAGAACTGGAATCACCTAATGTGTAGTCTTGCAATATATCGATCTTCCGTTGTACATACAACATACATAATGACTGTTTACATTTACATATTTGAATTGCCAGCTAGATGCAAAGACCTAAACACTACCTTGAATTCTGAACACAACCACATATCTGCCGTTGTGCTCAAACCGAAAAATATTAAGCTTCGCAACTACTGGTTTTCCATATTGTTCAGGTAAGTGGCCGTGCCGCCTCTGTGACTAGGTTGCGTGGGCCTTCCTTGGTGCGCATGCCGAAGGATGGCACACGTCAAAAGCAAGCATAAAGCCAGAAAGGCATAGTTGCCAGGAAGATTACTGGAAGAGGACATGGCTGGAAGTGAAGGCGTGACGCTTCTCACATGCCTAACGCGACATTTCGCTATACTACGCGCAGATGAGCAGATTGTGTCCCTCTCATGGAGCTTTTCGCTTGCAGTGACAACAGGCTTGCCTTGGTTGATGTCGTTAATTTCAATCCCTGCTGCGAGCTGACATGGCGTGGTTGGTCAACGTTTCAGTTTGCTGTCGCTCTCTCACGTTGCATGGAAACTATCCAAGCATGAACCACGGGGGCGGAAGTCAGCAAGCGGCGGAATGTGGGGTGAAGTCGACGGTTCTCACTTGGTTGGGGCCGTTCCGTAGCCGACGAGGGCCGGATGCACAGGCTCGTAGCGGTGGCGCTAAAATGACTAGGTAGGCGCCTTGGGTTCAAGTGTCGTAAACTGGCCTGAGCGTAGCGCGGTGAGCGAG